TCTGGAAGTCTGATTTGTCTTCTTCTCCATTATATTCACTTATCAAATCTAAGTGATCTATCATTAAGCCCTATCAATTCTATCTCCATCCACTTGTCTCTGTCCTCACAGCTATTACCTTAACCCAGCACTCTCACCAGTTACTGTAAGGGCATCAAAACAAGTTTTATCTTCCTATAATGCTTTTCCATACTACATCCAAGCTGATCTCCCAAAAATTCAAATCTGAGTCTGTTGTATACTTGCTTAAACCTTTCAAAGACTACTAAGGTCATTGGATTTAAGTTATTATCTCTTTAAATGGCTTACAGATAGGGTGACCATATGAACCAGTTCATCTTGGACTGATCTATTTGATGTGTGTTGCTTTAACTTAAAATTATTAATATTGCCCACTTCCATTCTCAAAAATGTTTCAGTTTTTATGATAAAATATGTGTTCACCCTACTTCTAAAGAACTTCCAGTTTGGATCACTGTTTCACTTATGGTCATTTCTTAAACTATACCATTGTATTTGGCAAACCCTATTCAACTTCCTTCAGTGATAAAATGTGAGGACCCTGATTTTCTTCCCTTAATTATTTGCAGCTAGCTAAGTTTTCTTAAAATATCCTTTGACTTCTATTAATCATCATTATTACAATTTCATCACAATTTATTTGTTCTATATGCATTAGATTTATTAAAAATGTAACTTTTTAACCCAATATTATTAAGCTTAGGTCTTGTGATCTTTATTTTAAAGAATATGGAAACTTATAGGAGATAAAATACCCAAGGTCACAGAACTAATAAAGTCAGAGAAGTTGGTACTCAATCTTAATATTTCTAGTCCAGAATCCTTTATATTTTTGTAGTGGTTGTAATGATAGCAGATGCAATAGTATTAGTAGTAGTAGTAGTAGTCATAGTCATAGCAGTAATAGTAGTAGTATTAATAGTAGTGTAAACATGATGGCAGAGGTGGTAGATAAAATTATCTTGACAGTAACTTATTTTAGGCATTGTGTTAAAGCTTATGCACATAGAATTATATTTAATACAAATACTATGAGTTTGCCATTA